GTGTGTGTGTGTGTGTGTGTGTGTGTGTGTGTGTGTGTGTGTGTGTGCTGTACCTGTTTATGAACTGACCTTTGGGTACAGCAGGTGTACCTGGTGAAATTAGGTCATAAATTACTCAAAGTTACACATTCAAAATTCATTATGTTGATCTGTATACTGAGGCGGGATGCAGGAGTGTGGGGCTTTCATTTGAACCACAGAGAAATGCTCTGTATGGAGGGAATGCATTAGTTAAGAGGTGAGCCTTCTTGGGAGCCGACAATATTCCTGAATCATACAGTGTACAAACCCTGACTTGACGTTACTCCTGTCTCAGAAACTCTGCTTGAAAGTGAAAGGAAGAGAGAGTTACAGAGGTATGATGAAAGAGACGAGCAGAGCAAAGGGTTTAAATAAAGGTTGTTTTTTTAATCTCTAGGTCTCCGGACACTTTCAGATGTCCATCAGAAAGTCAAGAGAGAAAGCCAAAGCTCACAAACCAGCTGGTGAGTTCATCTTGCAAGGATCTACATTTTAGCAGAATATCCGTCTCATGACTTTTATTTCAGCAGCCGGAAAAGATAAACACGGTATAAAAGATAACGGCTACCGGCCTACTGCCATAAATCCTAAAGTTCAACCCCTGACTGCTGTCGTGCCTCCTATTACGATGGCTAATGTAGCCGTAGTAGCCGAGGCTTTATTTCCCGAGATCGAAAGCAGCTAATCCTAAGGAGGACAAAAGTCCAAGCCCTCGTGACCAGCACCGGCATTCCCGTGACCCTGGAATGTGTAAAGAGAAGAAGAGCAGGGAGAGGAAAGCTGCTCAACCTGTACCCGTCACACTCTCTCTGTGGTGACAGCCCTTCAATTTGTGCTTTCTATTTTTAGTCCCCTTCATCTTCATTCCTGCTCTGGCCTTTTCACCCGTTTTAGAGGCAGTGATCTGAAAGGCTATGTCAGGAATGCGCTGTAAATCGTCGGTGGAATTGTGTTGTGGGCGAGGGGACTAAAGGGCATGTTGTAAAATGTTATCATGGACATTTCATTGGTCCTTTCCACCTGATATTTACCTCGGCTGCACATGATCACCACCATTCAGTGGCTGATTACATGTTCCAGATGACTATTTTCTCAGCCAGCTTTTTCAGTAATTATTGGTTCGTACCAGCGAGGTCTGCATCGACATTTGTGCTTTGAATGGTTCATGTGCAACATGTTTAAAATCGTACATTACATTCTATTCACTTGTCTTCATGCAACTAAATGTTTAAAACATATCAGCACATAACAGTCATAACTAAAAAGGTGCACTTAGTAAGGTGCAGACCTCCGCCAGGTGTGTCTGCAGTGACCGCTGCTGTATTCTGTGATTGAATGAATAAAACCCATAATTGGCAAATCCCCCGTCTAGACACTGAAGGGCAGAAAGGAGTCCAAAGACACACTGCTTCAAACTCAAAAAGAAGCTGCAACATATGCAAGCAATCGCTGAAAAAGACATTTCATACAATCTTGCCAAAAACACAATTAAGTTGCCGTTGATGTTCTCAGCAGTGTGTGTACTGGTGGTTTTCTTTTGACACGTTTTACAAGATAAGATAAGATAAGACGATCCTTTATTAGTCCCGCAGTGGGGGAATTCACATGGGAGTTTGCGCCCCCCAACGTATTCATCTACGGAAACCTTTTTTGAAGGCTAACTGTCAGATTTGTTGCTGTATTCATTTTCACCGTCAGGAGGAGATCTGTCGCGGGTGTGGTCATGTGTGCGTGAGTGAGTGAGCGTGCCCCTCCGTGTCTGTCAACGGCTAATCTCGCATTCTGCTGCAGCAAACTGCATAATATTTTGGGTGGCCAGTTATTACTGCATGCTCAAGGTCCTCTCGAGGTTGCGGTGCACTTACACTTTCTCAAAACTCCTTTTATTGTCCGTCCGATACGGCCATTCACTGCCTGCTGACTAATCACTCACGACTCTTCACCGACCGAGAGCTAACGCAGCTGAGTGCATCGCCGCTACTCTGCACCCAGAGACACAGTGGGGGGGGGGACAGTTATCTCACTTTTGTTGTTTTGGACAGTGATTTTGGCTAACAGCTAACAAAACCCAGATCCTGAGAACACACGTGAAAGTGTTTTGGGCGTTGACTGCTACATCCAGTCTCACTTTCAGTCTTTTTCCAACAATGACCCATCCCTGTTTAACCAGTCTCTTCGATAAACAAGTCTTGCTTGTTTAACCGTCCTTTGTTTCAGTCTGACATCATCTGAGTCCAAAACACAGCCTCCAGGCTGGACGGACAACCGAACCGGGTCCAAGACCACAAAGAGTTTTCGGCCCAAAAAGTGCAACTGCACCTGCACGCATGCGTTAGAAGTAATTGAGGATATTTGTTTTGTCATTTCTGACCTGCAGTGTGTGACCTGGTTTATTGTCGCTGTCGAAATATTAGACCTTCATCGTATTCTGTTTATGTGAATGATTGGATGTTTTGTTTAAAGATATAATTAACAACAATTATTAGGTTAAAGTGCGGATTTTCAGCTTGATGTTAACTTCCACATCGGTTGAACAGAACCTTATAAGAACCTTATAAGTAGTCCCCCAGTTGTGCAGTGCAGACAGTCATCCTATCTATAATCTGAAGGTGTTTGCCTTCATATATTTGTTCATATATTATTCATAGGCTGATTTATACAACATTTTATTCCTACAAACATGGCGAAAATTGATTTATTATGGCTGTTGACAGTATTTTCAGATTTATGAAGTGATGAATCACATTTGTAAACATCTGGAAATGTATACAAATGGATGTAAACCGCAACTTGACTGGTTGACTCCGGATGTACAGTTTCGAGCCCTGTGTCACGTGACTGAATCCCAGGGCCTTCCTCGTCAACAGACCTGCATGTCCCAAGAGATGAAGGCCTCAAACACTAAAAACAAGCCCGGCAACAATATGTGGGATGCAACCTGCTGAAGACATTATCTCGTGTGGAATGTCGGGGGGTTTGGGAGGTTTACTGGGGTCGGGGGAGGGGAGGTCAGATGTGTGTTTGCACTCACCTGTGGAACTGCATGCACATGTGGCATGCATGTGCGTTAACATGCACATTAGAGCTAATAAATACCATGTTATTTTGTGTTGCAGCATGATGTTACCAGTGGATCTGATAACACTCATGCTGTCGTTTACGTCCAGGCTGTGTCCACTCTGCTGAGCAGCCTGCCCGAGGAGGTGTGCAGGGAGCGAGCGGGGAGCCGGGTACTGGAGAGGCTGACTGGTTTTGCAGAGCAGCAGACCCTCAGGGTTCGACCTCGGGTCTGAAGGAGCTCTGTCTGCCTGAGCTGCGTGTGGCCATCAAGGTACACTAAACTAAAGTTACAGGAAACTGGCACGGAATCGCAGCAACAAATGATCATTTCTCTCCCACAGCTTACACTGAGAAAATGACATGAAATAATAAACTAACAGATCATTTAAGGGGCTTTGTTATAATAAAGTCACACTGATGTTAAAGCTTGAGCAAAGATCTCATAAGTACAGAAGAAGTAATAAAAACAGCACAGATTGTGAACACAACTCTGCCTGATCAAAATACAAAGACTGTCGAGTTCTAGATTAACATTTTCAGACCAGCTGAAATTGTCGCAATCATACGTTACATTGATGTTTACAACTGGAATCTGGGCGAATTGTAACGTGATGCTGTGTTCTGAGAGACGATTCAAACCTGAATGGAGGCAATTGTTGCCAAATTCTTATTTCAGTTGGGTAGCAGATTAAAGATGATCTCGTTAGCTCCCACCATAAACATTCTGTAATGATGCATTTCCATGTCGAATAGTAGCGATTCAATTGTGGGACTTTATTTAACTCCTCTCATCTTCCCCCTAACTTTAAGCCCGACAGCAAACTCTCAGTCACTCCCACCAAACCATCAATTAGGGACGAGCCCCACTCCCAAAACGAACAGACTCCAGACCCTCTGAACACGCCTCTACCGGTCAGAAATGAGGGGGAATAGATCTTTCCCAGACTCCTGAGCAGATAGCTGACAGTGTAATGACAGGAAGCCGGCTGATAAATGACACCGGAGCACAGTAAAGTTAGTTTACTGGTTTAGATGTTCTGTTTCTTTCTGTCTATCTCTATTTAAACTATCCCTCACCCATTACTCTCCTTCTCTGTCAGATTGCCACGGAGCACGTTGTCCAGATGCTCAGGGACGAGTACGATTCCTGGTTGTGTTTAAGGGTCGCTCTGCCCCCCACAGCGCCCCGCAAACACCAGGTGAACCACACTCATTTAGACCTGGAGGACAAATAGATGAAGGGAACACTGGGACACCAGGGTTGTAAATAAAACGTGAGCTCAAGGCTGAAAGAGTCTCAAAAGTAACGGGGCAAAAATGAATGAGTAAAAGTGACAAGTACTGAAGGATAAGTTATCTTGCATTTCCACCTTTTCGCTTGACTTGGATGAGAATAAGTAACTAATAACACCAAAAGAAACTCAGCAACTGAAAGTGGGAAGACGTAATTGTTATTATTTCATAGTTAAATTAAATTGCCCGAAGAAAAGGAACAATTAGATTAAAGGTACAATCAGGGTGCCTTAAAAAGTCTTAAAACGTTTTAAATATAGGTTTTGATATTCAAGGTAAAAATGTCTGGGATTGTAGGAGACGAGGCTTTACATTTGTTCTGGACCAGAATGAATGAGTGTGTCTATTTATTTATTTTTTCAGTTTTTATGTTTTATTATACGGTTATTTTATATCCCACGACAATGACCATTTCCGTAACGTCCAAAACAGGAAACAAATCTGTTAGTGGTTACCCCTAACCATCGGTGATATTCTAATTTAATGACAAGTGGTTGTACGACAAAAAATATGATGCAGCAATTCGTCTCAGACGCGATGTGAACCTTGTCGCAAAATATTCAAACTTGGGATAATGGGTGAGCACTGGAGTGTCACATGAAATCTGACAAAGAACAAGCAGTGAAAGTACTTTTCCAATCGAGTTGTCGGCTGCTACTGATAGTTTGTCTGTAGGTACGAGATGTCATCTGTCTACTGAAGATACGTCCTCTGCGGCAAAGCCTTGAGGCTCCGCTCCCAGACACCAGACAGCATCCAGCACTTTCTCTCCGACGGCCACGTTCAATTATGTTAGTTAATGAATTAATAATCTCATTAACGGTGTATACGGTGGACTAGTTTGTCGATTTCTTTTTCTGCTAAATGGTATTTTCTCTTTTAGATGAATTAGAAAGGTCTTACATGGTACAATGCTTTCTACACCAATAAGCACAGGGTCACACATGTGTACGGGATAAACAAGGAGATGCAAGCACACACAATAAGGGGGGAAGCAGGAAGTAGAATGGGTGCATACCTTTCAATCTACAGTTAAAGGCTACAAAGAGCAACCAGAAGTCTTCCTGGAGGCCTGCTTGTTGTTTTTCTCATGTGCAAGTCTCCAGTGATAACTCACAAGACTACATGTCATTATTTGGTAGAATCTTTAAGTGCTATGGGTCAAACGTTAGTTTGCACTAAATACATTGTGCAGCGATGAAGTGTGTATGCGGCCCTCTTCATTGTCTGCTCTGTCATTGCTACTCATGCTAACTAACCACTTCTTCTTTCATATCATCTAAAGAAAAGAAAAAACACTGTCGGTGTTGCCAAATGTGAAATTCGTTGTAAAAACCCACCCCTTCCTGTTCACAAGAACATTTTCCTGCAAAGATCTTCTTGACTCAGTGTTTAGCAAATGTGCTGTAAAAGCTTTAGGTTGAAAAAACACTTACACGCAGTATTATCTGTCCGTAGGGAGCAGTAAAACAGACATCACATGAAAAACATTACAGGCCACAAGTACTGCTAAAGTGCAAGCCACAGATGACACAGGGACGATGGGATAATGGATCAACGATCTAATATAACGACACTCAGACGTGCTTTTGACCCCGCCTTGCTTCCTGAAGGGGTTGTGAATAAAAGAGGCTGACCTTCAGCTCCGCCCGTTAGGAATAATCAACTCTCTGTTCTTTGCCTCGATCAGCATTTTGAAGAAATTGAGAGTGAATGTGACTGAAATCATGTGACTGTGAATGTTTGGACCCGATGGGTTTTTGAGATGCCTTGAGGAAAATAATGTTAGGAACACATTGGCAATATGTGTTATTTCAACTCCTGCTTTTGCAAACTCCTTCCAGCTACTTCTAGTCCTCCTTATCCATTTGCGATAACATGCACTGTATTGTTTTTTTTTCCACGTGAGATTGGGCTTGTCGTATCTACTTCAGTCTGCGAAGCAGCGTAGAGTCAAAGGGGAGAGTGTCTTTCCTGGGGGAGGAGGGGGAGGATCGGGAACAGGGGTGGTGGGTCAGCAACAAGCTATCACTCATTTTAGGAATGCCACACAGTCTGGGAGCTGTGAACCCTCACTTGGCCCTGGGCAGGGGGATGGTGAGGTGCAGGGCGGCAGAGGAAAACATGAGGGGGAACAAGCATTCTTTCATTTGAACTTCTCACTCAGGTTTGAGAGCTCACGCCTCAGGGCACAAAGTCTAGACGGAATAAAGGGGAAAATAGTAAATAAAAGTGAGGATAATAAATACAGCTGCAAGTCAGTGGATTTAAACTGGTAGAATTATGCACATAAATAAAATATAGAAAAGAGTTTGAAGCTGAGGAACAGTCTTAGTTGCGGTGAGCATGAGCAAGCTGGTGTAAATAGATCAACGTATCCTAATACAGCAGTTTGTTTGATATCTTACATAAAGTTATTTATTTTTTTGTGTGTCCAGCAACACGAGTGCAATCAGTGCAACTGTGCAAGCCCCTGCTGTGTTTAGGCAACAAAACTACTTGTTTAAGTTGAGGAAAAGATCGTGGTTTAGGGTAAAATAACTACTGAAGTGACGTTAGTTAAGTATGTAAGCTACACCACAAATTATTCAACGTTGACTTCTGGTTTCATTCGAGACATGAACGTCTCCTGGGTGAAAGTCCGGTGATTTTTGACCATCTCCATCTCCATCCACCCGACCTCCCTGGAGATTTTTTAACAAAAAGTCACAAAAACTGGAAATATCGAGTTAAAAAGATGTGGGCATTTATCAGGCATGAAGGGTTGCATTTTGGGAAATGTAGGATCCAGTGCTTTTTGGGGGGGGTTGTTTCATCCTCAGGGCTAAAATCAGGATATCTTGGCATCTGCTGTTTTGACCATTAGACCATTTCTCTTTTTATCTGTCTTTCACAAGGCCCCTAACTTTATGGAAGTACAATACTGAATTGCTCGAGTATCCCTTGTTTTTATTAAGTATTTGCAGATTTCCTGCGGTGAAGCCCAACAGACTGTGTGGACTTTGAGTCATCTGTGTGGTAGAATTGTTTTTGAAAACAGCTGCTATTGCAAGGCTGGTCTGCTGGTGGCACTAGAGAGCGCTGCCGTGGTGTGACCCGTCCCAGATGTACCGTATGCCTGAGGTTTAGTCGCTGTGGTGCTCAGAACCGTGAACCCTGTTCACTGAATGTGATTGGATGTGTGGATGTAGCTTGTTAAAGGTGCACATGATTGTAAAGTAGACAGAGAAGAGACCAGGAGGTAAACAGTCAAACAGAGCAGAGCTCAGTACAGCAGTACAACACTAAAACACCATGAGGAGCGTTCCCAAGTGAGTCATTGTTGGCGCTGCTTATGTTGACACAACCTCACGTTGTGTCGATCACGTTTACACACCGACTCCGGAACTTCAAAGTCATTAAAGGTTTTGGAGCAGTTTTGATTTCTGCTGGTTTTTTTTTTGTTTTTTTTTGCATCCATCGGCGTTTTAGACCACTTACAGCCACTTTAAATGCAAACTTTCATCCAAAATGGCATCTTATTCACTTTGTTCATTTGTCTCCCAGCACAAGGCGCTGAACAACAAAGTAAAGAATATCTAGATGTGGAATTTAAAGAGATTGTGGCCGGTGATTGCAGAACAGCTTGGAATCGCGGATGGACACAAAACAAAGGATTTACCAAAGTTTAGACGGTAGTGACTGAGCTCCAGGCAGCTAAGCGATAGCTTCTTGCTAACGTCATTCATTCGTTAGCCCCGTTTGGGACTTGCGTTGTCTATTGCACACACGTAATTAATGCAGTTTCGTCTTGTCTGGAGAATATTTGCAACAAATAGAACAATAAAACACATCGGACTCAGTGTGCAAGGTTTCTGTGCTCAACGATTTCTATCGGATGACGGATTAAAAAACTGCCTTGTTGTGCAAAGGGCTTTACTTTGCTTGTTCAACTGTCTGCCATTTCTGCTACTTAAGATAGTAACTGCAAAGAACTTACATTCTTTGGTAACGGGATAGCTACTGATGGCTGACGGGGAAAACAAAAGCAATTTCCTCTTCCTGTTTTGGTTGGTTGGCAATTGTCGACGAAATTCCTTCGGGCCGTAACTCGAGCTCGTAGCTCATCTCAGACAGAATTGCACAGTTACAGCACAAGCAGCAGAAAATACTGCGCATCTATCTATCAACCTAAACCTGAAGAAATGAAGGTACAACATGAGATTAGAGATTTAAGAGGATTTTAAGCATCTATGTGTCATTTTGGTGAAGGCATTTCTTACGAGTAAAAAAGCAGAATGAGCTTAAACTCCGTGATCACCATCATTACAAGCAGTCAAGAATAAGAACAGCTGCTGAAATCCTTTCTGTTAAAATGTACCAAAAAATACTTCATTAACTGCTTCAGGATTCAGATGAGGATTAAGTCACGTGGGCGTCCTGATCTTATAAACCCTGTGACCTTTCCTGCCACATCATATCAGAAGCACAGCGGTCAATCCACCCTACAGGAAAATTCAATATTTACTCTCCAGTGTACCAGCGGCGGCCTCTCCATGCTTGTGTAGTTGTGAAAGTGAATTTGGCTGCAAGTGTGTGAAAGTGTTTGCTTAGTGGTGAAACGTTGTGCAACCAGGAGCTGGGCCTCGAAATGATTACGTTAAAGAGGCTGAGTAGTAGTGAAATCAACTTTAAACTGAGACATAAGGGCACCGTGGAATACGTGGCATCTAGTAATTTTGCGGTAGTTTTCGTTGAATATTTACATTGAAACAACTACATGATCATTTGTTCTTTGTAATCTTTATTGTTGTTGGAAAACAGGACATCATTCTTGCATTTTAGTTGCACTAAATGATAGCAGACCTCCTGAAATATCAAATGTAATATCTGTAATGGCTACATGCTTTTATCAGTTCCTTTATTGTGTCTTCCTGCATGTTCCCTTGGTTAGCCCTTTGTCCTGCTGATAAATTCCCTGCAGCTGGCACTTTG